ATGGAGGGCCGGTAAGACGGATCGAACGACCGTTCCTCTATGAACTCTCTTTGCCAAGGCGACTCTACTCGACGGCGATCAACCTCTATCACTTCCTCTCGGTCGAACCTTTCCCGATGCGGATCGAAGGTTATGGCTTCATTCCGTCTAATCTGCTCATGTCGCGGATCAACGTGAGTCGATCCTTCGTGATCCTCGACTCGACGAACATTTGGCGGCAAATTGTCCATCATCCTTTCATCACGGTGGTGAGCTGACTGATTGTTCTCGTCCTGCTCGCCTTGACGCGCGATATTAGATTGAACACCTCCTTCACCGACCGGAAGTGGATGCGAAACCGCAGGTATTTGCCGATGTTGCATTCCAGCTTTCAATTCTGCATTCTCTTTTTTGAGAGCTTCAATCAAGTTCATCAACTCCTCAAGCTTTGTTTGCTGGACAGCCTCCATCGGATTGGAGCTTTCACCTATCATTATTCCTGAACGGAGTAAAGGCATTAATCTCAAGTTCTTGAGTAGATCCGAGCTTCGTGAGTGGGAATTTTTCAGATCTGGTTTCGAATTCTCCGAATTATGCTCACCGTTTACGAGATCTGACTTGTCTGAACTCTAAATCCGTCAGATCCTGCCACAATCGAACAACTCGTTGTTGCGTAGATCTGAAGCCACTTCTGCCAAAGCTTTAAGAATTGTAATTCCTCCAGAGTAGGTCACAATCGCTCAGATCTGGATCCAAATCCCAAAGATCGAGTCTCGATCAACCGAATTGGTCTGAATCCACTCGATATTCCTCATTGATCAACCAAACTTCCATGCGATTCCCACAGACGGCGCCAATTGAAGATGCAAGAAATTCATTCCCTCTTTCTCTCTCTAGAATTCTTACACTTCAACCAAAAGATCCCCCTCTTCTTTTCATTCCTTCCCTTATTTATAGATATTTACAAGATATTTACAAGATATTTACAAATATTGACGGATTGCTGGATCTGGGCCTGTTCCTCCATAAGTCCTGGTCACCTTTGATGGGCTTATTCGCGTTCGGCCCATATGGCAGTGTCTTTTTATGGGCCGACCCAGCTGTACAGACCGGATGTCGTGCTTGCAAGTCAGATCCGGCCCATGTCGTCCTGGGCCTCCTCAGTGAGCCTTTTGCTTAGGCAGTCATGAAAGGAAGACTCTCTCTTCCTTCCGAGAAGGTTGGGCCTGTAGGTGGTTTAAATGAGCATTGGGACTGTTGGGCCGTCCTACGGTTGGACTGATGACCCCTTCAAACTCTGGGCCAAATGGATCAGGTCATATATGGCCCGGTTCATTTTCGGTACCCAAACCAAACACGCTAGTCTTCTTTCACCAACAATGGACACCTTTGCACAAACTTCCTGAGCTCTCCTTTGAAATTTAGCAAATTTTTAAAACTTCCTTGAACACAGCATGAACCAAGTTGTATCGATTTTAATATTGAAGCAACTCCTAGTTGTATCTAGGTCTAGAAATTCATCCCAAACCAAATTATTAATGTGAAATCTATAGTTTGTCAACTCTATGAATGAAGCAACTTCATTTCCAACCAAATTCTCCAAGGTAACTGAACTTGATTTAGTGCACCATGCACCAATTATAATTGGAAATTTAATTCATGGGAACGCACGTAAACTCTAAAGTTTCTACAGCCTGGATATCAAATTTTAAGTCTATAATACCAAGAAGCAGACCTTGACAAGAATCTTCTGAATCAGATTTATTATAGTCACTTTCGAAGTCTTTAACTACTAGTTCATTTGCCTCCATTTGTTGTTCTTGAATGAAAAAGTCATCTTCGGTGCTTGCGAAAAATATCATTAATATTTTTAGAGACATCTTAAAAGTTAAAGACTCAAATCTTCTCTTGAGGCTCACAAGCTCCTTGCTTACGGATTTCTTTATATCACTTGCACTTGTATGCAAGCCCCAAAAGTGGGCTCACTATAGTTTATCCACTTACCCATTTTTGCCTACCAGGACTTTGGATATAGAAGACAACTACAAAGCTTGAATATGAATTCTGATCTTAGTACCTGCTCTTGAACTAGAACAAGTTGCTTCAATTTGTTCAACCACTTTCGTTATCTATGATTGATAATAAAAAAATAATGGAAAGGTAGATAGTGATATAACTAGTAGAATTGGACTGGGTTGCACAAAATGGAAACAAGGTAGTGGGATATTATGTGATAAAAGAATAACACACAGACTAAAAGAAATTTTTTATAGGACCATTATCAAACCACAGCTATGTTGTATTGGGCAGAGTGTTGGGCCCTAAAAAGAAACAAGAACAAAGCCTTCAAGTAGCGAAAATGAGAACGGTAAGATGGATGAGTGGAGTGACTAGAAGAGATAGGGTCACCAATGAAAGTGTGAGAGAAAAATCAGGTGTAGCACCCATGGGTGAGAAAATGAGAGAGAGTAAACTTAGATGGTTTGTACACATACATCAAAGGCTAGAGACGCAACAGTTAAACGAGAAAAGACTAGTTGTAATAGAAGGTAAGAGACGGAGAGGATGACCAAAAATAACATGGGATGAGGTTTTTAAAAATGACTTCAAAAAGTTAAATATAGTAGATGAAATGGCATGTAATAGAAAAGATTGGAGAGAGAGAATTCATGTGGCCGACCCATTCATGTGGGATTAAGGCAAGGATGATGATGATGATGATGAAATCCACAGTATGCAGACTGAATAATTACAGCTACCTAAGCTTCTAACAAGTTCTTTTCTGTATTAACTACTTGCTCAGTTTTCTTTCCTTTCATTATTGCTCAAGTGAACTTAAATTGTTGCATCTTTTGATTTGAATATATCACCTAATTTTTTTCTCCCCATTTTGCAATTCTGGACGGCATGTGCTGCTGAAATCTTTCTTCAACAGGCTACTTTGTGCAATTTTCACATTGGTATGTATTTGTTTACTGGCCCCTTGGTCTCCTTGTGGGCAAATTAAGAGGAGAAATGATTACAGATTGATCGAATCTAGTGTATAGTTAAATAATTTGATGTTGCAGATTCGCCGGGTCTTCTCTTGAGCCACGCTGCTTCTTGCCTAGTCATAGATCCGTACTTATCACAGATATGAAGGAGAGGCCTGATACCACTAGCAGCAAACTGGAACAAAGATAAAATTTACTTACAAATATAAGTAAGACTGTCATTGCTCCAATTATCATTGGTTGCCCCTTTTACAGCATAACTACTAGTGACATCTGATTTTCTCTCAAAAGACTTTTCAGATTCCCACACCATATGAGTGACACTTCTACCACTTCTCTATGTTATCATTTAGTAATTCCAAACCATAATCAGTACTCCTGAAGAAACAAGGATGAACTTGGACTTCATTAAATTGAAAGACACTTTTCGAGGCACCATTAATTATTTGCATCACAATTCCAAAAAGACCCGCGTAAAATTGCCTCATAGACTCACAACAAAACAAACTCCCTTAAGGGAGCACCCTTCCTTAAATTATGTGTACTCATTTACCCAACACCAATTCATTCATTATTTTAAATTTAGGACAAAATCCCTTGCCGGACAAAAATTGGCAATTAAGAATTTTCACTCACAAGAAAACCCAAAAAAGGACATCCATCGTAATTAGTAATTGAGACATCGTAATTACACCTTAAAAAATATTTCATGAAGCAGCTTGTCTTCTTTCACCACACCAAATTGGGTGCTAATTCTCTATAAAATGACTTCTTTTTTCTTTTCTTTTTTCCATCAAATCCTTTTGTAACTCTTCTAAATTAACAAAACTTGAACCTTGATACAAGCAAAATTTGGATATCTTCCAGAATTTCTCCACTACAAATTGCATGAACAAAATTTCAGTTCCTCCCTGAAAACCCAAAGTGTTAGCTGTAAAATTCCACAAAGCTGCAACTCTCACCAAGCTTAACTTTTGAAACTTCAGAGCAACCAGAGACCAACATTGTTTTGAAATTCCATAAACTCCCTAGGTCAAACCTTTGGCTTAATTGCTTGGCATGTGGAAGCATTAATTACTTTGGGTTTAACTCCTTGGAAATATACAAGTGCAGGGATAGACAATAAAGAATATAACAGAGAAAGACGAATTTATGTGGTTCACCCACAATAACAATGAGTTCAAGGGCAAAGATGACAAACAAATTTCACTAGTGTAAAAGAAAAAAATTCATATTTGAACCAAAATCTCCAAAGAGTGTATAAAACCCATGACCAAAGCTCTTTTAATTTGATATTATAATTGACACCCAAACCAAAACGCCAGGTAAGATCCTATAAATTTGCCTTACACCCTGGTTATAAAACATGTTCCCCATGAGGAAACCATGAGGAAGACCGCTCCTTAGCCCTTCCCACAGGTATAATCAATTCCTGACATCAATTCTCTTCTTCTAAAGAGGTACCAAATTCTTATTGAACAAGGATAAGATGCCAGGACTTCTTCCACAAGGATAACTATAAGAGAAAGCCTGTAAAACTAAGAAATTTGAGACAAACTCGCAACACAGTGTTATAACTATTTATATATAAGAACTTCACAGAAAATTTAGCCCAACTCCTCCTGTGGTAAAGTAATTTACTAAACCATACTTTTAGTAGACAAAATTAGATCCAATAATCTATTAAGCTCAGCTGAAACTCAAGTTGATAAGCTTTTAAGCATCCTGAGCTATATCAAAAAAACAAGCACAACTTAAGCTTGCCCGAGTATAAATTCGAACTAAATTGTGGGACAAATGATCCAATCTCAAACTTCTCTTTGCAACTCATTAATATATTGAGCTAAACTTGAGAAACCCAATATCGGGTTCATTTTACAGCCCTAAATTTTACTTTAATTATGGCTGTTCTACATAGCAGTTACAATTAATATATATATATATATATATATATAAAATGCAGTTGGCATAGTGAGACTCAAGTACTGCTTTTATTTAAGTATCATATATATAGCAAGAAAACCGTACCAAGAACAAGCTTGGAATAGAGTTCAGCTATTGTAACTGGAGCTCATGTTGGCGCAAATCCGATAAGCCCAACTGATGGCCTCACCCACCATAAACACATGTAGTGCTCCTTATAATAGTTCATATTAGCTGTTGCAGAATTTTTCGTTCATTTAAATTGCATGGACAATGAAACAATCATAAAAAATGAAAACAAATAAAAAGACCATTGCTCAATTCCAGCGGTTATCAGTTCAAGATGCTTAAAGGGCCACATCGAATTTAGACTTCAGACCTAACTCTGGTGTGGCCCTCATATTTAAGCCAATGTTCATATACACGACATCGCAAACCTTTAACTTTGCACCAAGCAATGGCTCCTAAGGAATGAAATGAAATGAAAATGAAAATATTCCCCCAATTAAATTCTTAAATTTGATCAATTCAACATGATATCGCAAAATTCATCAATAGATTGGATTTGATAAAAATTAAAATTAAAAATGAAGATTAATTACAACTGACTTATAAAAATAAGAGGGCATCTTTGAAGTTTACCTCTATTTATCTTCAATTCTGTGCAGTTACAAATTATCCACCACCGCTCGATTGCTCCGAGTGTTGAAGATGGTACAATAGCTTGATAGAATCGTGCACGAACTACGGATGAAGAAAAGCAACTTTTAAGCTCTGAAATTGCACTTTGAAAATAGATACTAGCACAGTATGGTTTCAATTGCACTGAAAATGGCTTTGAGAGATTGAATACAATATACAGAAAATATAATATATATATATATATATATACATGTATGACACACAACACATACCTTTTGACATTGTTTCGTGTACGCCTCTTATTGCTATGATTTTCACGCGAGTGAGGTCAACGAGTTTAGATAATTGGAAATAGGCAGGAAGGAAGCTCGAAAAAGACACGTAGTTCGTCGAGTAGGTCCGAAAAAGACACGTTATTTCCGAGGATCTTTAACCTAAAAAAAACAAACAAGGAATCCAAGGATCGTGGAGGTCGGGAGTTCCCATTTGCACTCTTCTTCTTCTTCTTTTTTCTCCTTTAATGAAATGACCTAAATATCCCACGTACTTTTCTCTTTCTTTTTAGGTAAAGTCCAATATACCCCCCTCAACTATGTCAACTATGTCCTAAGTGTAACTAAACCCCCTCAACTACAAATAACCCCCTCTAACTATGTGATTTATTAAGTTTTAGGACAGAGAAGGTATTTTCGGTACACTTTCGTCACCGAAAATTGGTAAAGACCTTTTTACCCTTTGCACAACAAGTTGCTATTTAAAAATGAGGTATTGTTGTAAAATTAGCTAAATAACGTGGGACCATGTAATCAGAAGAGCCACTAAAATTTTGACATTTATACAACCTTATCGCAACAAACCAATGATATTCGACAACACAAGACAATTGTCACCTCCCACAACACTCGTCAATTTCTTGACATGAAGGAAAAAAAAAATAGAGAAAAAAGAATTCAGAAAAAGGTATATACAGTGGGAGGGAGAGAGGAGAAGAGAGAGATGCTCAGCATGGTGAACAAATTTTTTTTCTCTTCAATATCAGGATTTTGGAATGAGTAAAAAGGCATGTTTCAATGCAAGAATTTAGGCATCTATAGTTCCTTATTTACTTTGACAGATCCAATTCATCACCATCCAAAGTTCCAAACCCAGTTTCAGATTTTTTTTTTTTTCTTAGTAAATAAACCCAGTTTCAAACTTCCAACACTCAAACTTCAGATTTTATAATTCAATTTTCAATTGTTCACTTCAACTGTGATTCTTGTTGTGGACATGTAAGTATTGGCGTCGTCTACAGCTACTTCTCTCTGGTCTCCGGCAACTCCTTCGTCTGCAAATCAATAAAAAAATGTGAACTCTGTGATCAGATCGATCACAATTGCCTTGAAAAGGAACCGAAGATTTTGCAGTTCCTGAGTGCAAGCCCTAACATTCTCCAAATCAACGAGGACAAGAACTACCTCCACGTCGTCACTGATCTCTACGATAGTATACGATTCCTCCGATCTCTACCATGTATCTTAAAGCGCACATTCTTTCGCAAAATTGAACGATATATATATATATATATATATATATATATATATATATATATATATATATAGGCAGAATGAGATATAGAGAGAATTGGGTCCGAGCGACAAATTTAGGAAGATGAAGATAGAGACCTTAGGGCGTGTTTGGATGGGTATTGGGTTGAATAGTAATAAGAAGGCACTATGGTCTTTTACTTTTCATAAGGGCTATATGGTCATTTAATTAAATATGGATTGTCACATGACTTGCCGATCATTGGGCAAATTGCAACCAAAGGGCTATGTTCAAGGGGGTTTTATGCTACTTTAGTAGTCTATGGGGGTATTTTGCTAAAAAGGATATAGTTAAGGGGGGTTTATTGCACTTTACCCTTTTTTTTTTTATCACTAACTTCACAATTCACTTGTTTTTTTTCTCCTTTAATTAAATGACCTAAATATCCCTCGTACTTTTCTTTATTTTTTTATCACTAACTTCACAATTCACTTGGAAAGAATTGAACATGTCTTTGCAGGCGATTTGCATTAATTTTTTTTTTTTTTTGGTTAATTTCACTGTCATCCTTCAGGTTTGACAAAATATCACTCTCAAACATCTTTCAAAAATAACTGTCACTAAGGTTCATTTCTATTTTTCCATTAAAAATATAAAAAAGACAATTTTACTCATTATTTTTTAATCCTATTTATTCTAAAATATCCATTATACCTTCAGCTATATATATATATTACAATCACAAATATATCGACGACATCTTTGTGCGATGACGGCAAAAGGCTGTAAACTGCAGCATTGATTTTTTTACCGAACTAATAAATTGGCAGTGGTCAGCAGTGATGGGTGGTGGTGGATATTCATGATCCCGTGGACGGTGGTGGTTTGGTGGGAAGGAAGACATCAAACCAAAGATTGCGGGTGGAGTTGACGGCGACGTCCGAGGTCTTGATGCCTTTGATGGGTTTGGAAATTTTGAATTAGGTAGAGCTCTGACGTGGAGGAAATGCACCACCAACTATCACCGTTCACAGCGTTGGGTGGAACTCTGAAGTTGCAACGGCGCATTTGTCGAGGTGCCTTCCGGCCGGCCGGTATGAACTTTCCATCGCAGCCATACACGGCGTGGCTGCCAAGTCTGACAGCATTGTTCTTCAGGCTGTATTTCTTGGGCGCCACTTTATTCGGCGGCACGTTAGCTCCATCTGGGTTGAGACGAGTTACCTAACTCGGTGGCAACTCAATCTCCTCGTTTTGCTCCTCTTCCTCTTGATCCTCAAACTCCATTAACATTTCTTTCACTAATACAACAACTAATTATATATAATCAATATTTTTATATATATATATATATATATATATATATATATATGTATATATATAGTATAAACCTATTATGGGTTTAAACAAAATGGGTATTGTTAACCCTAAAACCAATTTTGACGATCACAAAGCATTAACTGTGTTTTAAAGACTAACGTTTGCCTTCAGAACACATAACAGGTTTGTTACTTAAGTCTAAAAGCGAAGTGGAAATCAAGGAAAGATAAAGCCAAGCATATGCACTCCAAAGACAAAAGAAAACAAGTTATTCACTTCAAACTCCAAAGTCTGGCTTTTCAAATGGGGTAGATAGGTTTGGAGAGTGCCATAGATTCAAATGTTAAATGTTAATCTTTAAAGCCTAAGAAAAAGAGGAGGATGGAGGTTCACAGTAAGTTTGGTTTGGCCAAAAAGTGTTTCGGCCGACCGAACATGAAGTTTTAGCCGACCGATAAGGGTTTTCACAAAATTATATATGTATCAGCCGACCGAAGGTTATCCATCAGCCGACCAATATAATGAAGTCCCGAGAGCTGTAACTTTAAACAACCGTTTCGGCCGACCGACGATTGAAGATCAGCCGGCTGACGAAAGGCTTTCAGCCGACCGATAATGCTCCATCAGCCGACCGATACAAGTCAATTTCAAATCAAATGGCTACCTACGAACTTAGATTATTGACACCTCATCTCCAACAGCTATATTGACCTCCAACAGCTATATTGACTTCCTCTCTCTATAAATAGGAGCTGCAGCTTATGTTATAATATACACATCCATTGAGAGCAATTTAAAGATTAATCAAGAGCTTCATTCTAGAGCATTCAAGGCAATCATTTGATCACTCATTCCAATCTAGAGATTTGAGCTTTATTTTATTCATTTACTTACTCTAGTTGTGAGCTTAAAAATTGTAAATCTATCTTGAGAGAAATTCAATCTTGTACTTCAACTACAATCTTTTTTACAAACTTGTAAGGGTTGGTGTGACCCAAAAGAAGCCTAGGAGAAAGGTGTTCTCCTAGCAAAAAAAGGGAAGCAAAGGCTTGCTTTATGTGAAGGTTTGCTCTCCACCATTAAGGAGAAAATCTAGTGGATTGAGAAGTCTCAAGAGGGATCTTGAGCCGAGGAGTAGGAGCTTCCGAACCTCGCTAAAAATCTCCGTATCATTGTTTGCAAATTCTTATCCCTATCTCTTTTATATTTATGCTTTGAATTATTATCTACTTTAATTGACTATTGCATAATTGTTTATCTCTAGTGAAATTGTAAATTTTATTAATTGGCCATTGACTCTATTCAGCCCCCCCCCCCCCCCCTCTCTAGAGTCAATTATTGTTCAACATTTGGTATCAAAGCCTAATCTCTGAACGATCATGGCCAATTTTCATCAAAAAGGTCAATCTAATAATAGACCTCCTTGGTTTAATGGAAATGATTACAATTATTGGAAAATCAAAATGAGAGCATTTCTAAGAGGTCTAAACATCGATGCTTGGAAAGCCACCGAACAAGGTAATCACATTCTAACCAAAGTTGTTGATGGCCAAAGAGTTCCAAAAATCGATAATGAGTGGACTCAAAATGAGCGTAGGCTTGTTCAATGTAATGTCATGGCTATCACAAATCTTTATTGTGCTCTAAGCAAAAATGAATTCAACAGAGTTTCGGATTGTGAAACGGCCAAAGAGATTTGGGATAAACTTGAAATTACATATGTTGGCACTAGTCATGTTAAGGAATCTAAAATGAACATGCTTGTCCATAAATATGAATTATTTACTATGAACAACAAAGAAACAATTAGTGAAATGTATTCTCGATTTACTAACATTGTCAATCCTTTGAAGGCTCTTGGAAAGTCATATACATCATCCGAAAATGTGAGAAAAATTCTTAGATCCTTGCTTAAGAATTGGGAAGCTAAGAAGACCGCTATTTAAGAAGCGAAAAATCTCAACACACTCCTTATTGATGAGCTCATTGGTTCTTTGATGGCAAATGAGCTAGAAATGAATAATGGAGATGACAACAACGAAACTCACAAGAAAGATCTAGCTCTTCAAGCCACTACCAAGGAGGTTGAAGTTGAGAAAGCTCTCGATAATGAAGAAGAGGAAGAAATTGCACTCATCACCAAAACCGTGAGAAGAGTTCTTCAAATGAAGAAGTACCAAAAGACCAACAATCTCAAAAGAAGTGGTTCCACAAGTGAGCAAGGAAAAAGAGAAGCATCTAGTTGTTTTCATTGTGGAAAACCGGGGCACTTCAAATTGGATTGCTATGCATACAAAAATGAAAAGGAACGGAAAAAAGAAAGCCCAAGCCATGCGTGCTACATGGGAGGATGATGATTCAAATGGATCCGGAAGTGATGATGAACTCAATGAATTGGTCAATCTTTGCCTCATGGCCGATGAAGATGAGGTAAACTCTAACAATGACTCATTTGATTTAGAAACTACTTATAATGAATTAGTTGATGCTCATAATTACTTACTTGATGCTTTTAAAGAATTGCATGATGAATTAGGCAAGATGGTTCAAAAGTGTGCTAGTCTTAAAAGAGAAAACTACATTATCTCTCAAAAGCTTGAAAAATCTCTTCTTGAAAATGAAG